GGCGTCACTGAGCGCTGCCCCGGCCGGGCCCCCCCGTGTGGGGCGCCAGTCGGGGGTACCGGCCAGGAAAGGCCACGGGAGGGTGAGGGCAGCGCGCCATCCGTGTGGCCCCACGAAAGCGTGAGCGACAGGGTTTTATTCCAGTCCCAGCCACGTCCCCTGGGCGCAGAGGGGACCAGGGCGAGAGTCACTGGGGGCTGCTTTGTCCTGCAGAAACAGCCCCCAACACGCCGCCGGCATGAACGCCGCCCAGCGCCTGATCCGATGTGCCGTCTCCCGGGGCTTCCTGAGCCACAGCTACACCCTGAAGGGGCATCGCAACGTGAACCCCACCAGCTGCCCCGGGGACGCCCTCTACAGGGTCATCACCAAGTGGCCCAGGTTCAAAGCCTGAGTCCCTGCAACCCCATCGCTGCTCCCACCCGCAGCCTCTGCCTGCCCCTGCAGCACCTCGGCTCCCCAGCAGGGGGCAGCCTCGCGCTTCTCGTCCACCTGCTTGGGACCTGGGGGGATTTTTGCAGAATCCCACAAATGGGGGCTTAATTCAAGCCCGAAATAGCTACCCTGCGTCTTTTGAATGCATCCGCTATATCAAAATGTAGCAGACGCGCTGTTTCGGCATCCCTGTAAACCTCGTTCCACGAGGAATAAGGGATGTCTTGAAATTGTGCTTTATTGGAAATGTGGTGCTGTGTAGACGCGCCAGATTTCGAAATAGCCTATTTGGAAAAAGAATCGAAATAAGAGACACAATTTGCGTAGCGCAAATTGCAGCTCTTATTACGAGCTAAGGCGATGTCTACACTGGCGCGGTCTTGCGCCCGAAATATGCAAATGAGACTAAGCGTGGAATATCGCCGAGCCTCATTTGCATATCTACTGAGCCGCCATTTTTGCGGACGAGGCGCTTGCGCCAGAAGGAGCTGTCTACACGGCCCCGTCTTGCGCAAGAAAACCCCTCTTGCGCAACGCCGCTACGCTGATCATTTTCAGGAAGAACGGCATCGCGCAAGAGGGGTTTTCTTGCGCAAGAAGGGGCCGTGTCGACAGCTCCTTCCGGCGCACGAGCCTCTTCCGCCAAAATGGCTGCGCATTA